GACGCAGGGTGAGGGGTGTGGACAGAGGGGTGATGCAGGGTGAAGGGGTGTGACGCAGGGTGAGGGGGTGGAGGGTGAAGGGGTGATGCAGGGTGAGGGGTGTGACGCAGGTGAGGGTGTGACGCAGGGTGAGGGTGTGATGCAGGGGTGAGGTGATGCAGGGTGAGGGGTGTGACGCAGGGTGAGGGGTGTGACGCAGGGTGGGGGTGACGCAGGGTGGGGATGACGCAGGGTGAGGGATGTGACGCAGGGGTGAGAGGTGTGACGCAGGTGAGGGGTGACGCAGGGTGAGGGGTGTGGTACAGTAGAGGTGTGGAACTGCAGAGGTGTGGGACAGTAGAGGGTGTGGGACAGTAGAGGGTGTGGGACAGTAGGGGGTGTGGGACAGTAGGGGTGGGGAACAGGGTGTGGGACAGGGTGTGGGAACTGCAGAGGGTGTGGGACAGCTGCAGAGGGTGTGGGACAGTAGAGGGTGGGACAGGGACAGTAGAGGTGTGGACAGTAGGGGTGTGGGACAGTGAGGGTGTGGGACAGTAGAGGGTGTGGGGCAGTAGAGGGTGTGGGACAGAGGGTGGGGACAGTAGAGGGTGGGCACAGTGGACAGGGGACAGTAGAGGTGTGGGACAGCAGAGGGTGTGGGACAGAGTGTGTGGGACAGTAGAGGGTGTGGGCAGAGGGTGTGGGACAGTAGAGGGTGGGACAGTAGAGGGTGGGACAGAGAGGTGGGACAGGACAGTAGAGGGTGTGGGACAGTAGAGGGTGTGGGACAAAGTGGTAGCGACGAGGAAGAACATAAAAGTTATTGGCCTCCATTAGATACTCAATATACCAGAGAACAATGACGCAACGAGGAGAGAGAAAGAGGGGGTGGAAAGGGAGAGGAAGGAGGGATGGAGAGGAAGAGGGGGATGGAGAGGGAGAGGAAAGGGGTGGGGGAAGGTAGGCGGGCGCTGGTGTGGACGTAAAAAGCAGCACAATGGCACCAGCACCTGCAGGCGACCCACAGGCGAGAGGTGGTAAAGAATTAGACAAAAGCACCATGACTGTCGATTACAGAGAGAGTCTGAATGAGAACAGGACGAACAGGAGACGCCAGAGAAATGTGCTTGAGGAGATAATAGCCTATTCCTATCACTTACAGGTGGACAGGCAGGTACTCCTTGACTTCTCTGTATCGCCGTCTTTCATTTATTTCTAAGCTTTATATCAACTGAGATATAGCTAATGTTATAGAGTGAAACATTTGCACACTTAATTATGAAATCGCATTAAATTATTCTAAATAACGTAACGCCGAGTATACGAGTTTTCCTGTAGTCGAACATGTGAAATATCCCGAACACTTCACTCCTCCAATAAAAAAATAAAATTATGCTTATTATCACGCACGTCAAAGCCCTTGACTGACAAATGTTCCTGCCAAGTTTCAAGAAAATAAGTCTACGAGTTACGCGCACACACCAAGGATGAGTGGAAGGCGAAGGCACGATGTCATAATATTCCGTGGACTCGTTCTGAGATAATATTATGAAGTAAGTTTAACTATCCTGAAATTATTGTCTTACGGCACTGGCTATACTGGTGTCCTGCAGCTGACTGACAGAAATAAACAGTATATATGTTGAGTAACTTTGTGATGAGGAGTCAGATATAGTTATCACTGTGCTCGAAAGTGTCTGGTGTATTTAAATTTAAACAAGGTAGACGGCGAGTGTGCAGAACTAAACACACGGTATGACTGTTTCTCTAGAGCCTAGGCGCCACACTTGGTATTTATCGCCACCAACCGTGTGATGTAGGCCGTATATATTTCACTGTTACACTAAAGACACATTCTACCAATATGATGATGATTTCCCAGAAGGGGATTAACTTATGTTCTTATAAACTGTCCTGACCTCTGACCTAACGATTTCAAACAAAGGGATTCATTTTCCATTTGAGGATGAAAGGGGGAACAGGGGAGAAACAAAAAGAGAAAGACGGGAATGAGAGAAATGACTACCGAGGAATTCATAAATAAAAAGGAAAAAACAGATGAGAGAAAGGCAGAGGTACAACAAGAGGGTGGATTGTATTCCTGCCTTGTCAGTGTGTGCGTGTGTGTCTATGAATGTTGTGTGTGGGTGTTTGTGTGAGTTGACGTCAACAAACTGGCCAGGCGTCTAGTTAGCAGCCAGGAAACACGGACAGTATTCTGTTTCTCTCGACTCTCTGAAGTATGTGGGTCATCTACGTAGCTCCTACACTAACTCAAGCTGATGTTTACACCGATGAGGATATATACGCTACTTAAATATCGAAGTCCAATATTTTGTGAGAGATCTTTACATTTTATGCCTCTACCAGCTGGGGCAAAATGATATTGAATTTGTGGATACGTCCGTACATCAGTATGCCACTGCTTTTTCACCCAAGTTTGACAAAATATTAGTCAGTGAAGTTTAATCGTGTCCTGTCAGTTTTCTTGTTTCAATTATACAAGAACTTGGTTCATCACGCATTGTTTTAGATGAGCCACAGCTCACCTTCCTCAATACGATTATCATAAAGTTGTCAGCATTATCTCCTGGCGGACAGGAAATAATTGAATAAACACCTATGGCAGTGTAGGGATATTTCTCCGACTAAGGTTGTCGTTCTTCAGGTAGGTGACACTGTGGGCTACTGGAGTCACTTAACACCAGCAATGTTTGGTCAGTGGCCCACCCTCTTGATTTACGCCCCCACATAAAAACCCGCCAGACGCCCACCATAACCCACCTTATAGCAACCTAACCTCCCCCGTCTCCCTGGAATAATTCTGACACTTTTGTGTTTTATTGCTGACTGAACCAATAAAAGTCTCATAAGACAATGCACTTTGAAAATATGTCCGCCAGTTACTTGTGTTTTCTGTGGCGGCTACACTGGGGCAGTGATGGTAACTCATACACTTGTGGTGGGGTGGGTGACGGCTCCGATAGATCATGTTACAGGACAGAGATGGTCCTCTGGCGTCGCCATGCAGACTCCCTCCACCTTACAAATAATTTATTGCCACTTATTTACCTAATGGCCACCCACTAGAGGTGGTCATGCCGAGGGAAGAAAGCCAGTGGCCTGTATAGGATCCCTCCATTGTTTTGAAAATTTTGTCAAGGACCATTTTGAAGCCCAATAATGTTCCTGGTTCCACAACTTAGGCTGGCAAACCGTTCCATGGGTCTACCACCCTCTGTGTGAAAAAGTATTTATGTTCGTTCTGAATAAAAAGTTTTCGAGCTTGTAGTTATGACCCCAGTGTTGGTAGTGCGTGACATCGCAAAGAAATGGCCCGGGTTCACATTTTCCATCCCTCTCAGGAATTTTAATGTTTCAGTAAGATCATGCTAAATCGGGATAATCGTCCAAATATGCTTTTTAAAAGCAACTGACGTTATTGCCAAATAAGTCTAAGTTTTTGTGTTTATTGTTATAACTTAATGAAAATATTTTTTATATAATTAAATTTGCCCTGTTTCATTTAAGACGCCGTTTATAATCACAAAATAAGCAAATTATTCCTACAATTAGGGAGGTTAGTTTAGGTTTTGCATAGCGCTATCCATTAAGTGTATTTTTTTGATCCGCATGATCATTTATGGCCAGTCGGGTTTCCAAAAAAGAGAAATAGAAATAATTATAAGTCATCACTAAACGTACCATTAGCTCTTCCATATTCAAATCATCGACAAATCACCTGGTAGCATCCAAATTGTTTATGAGTAAATACTGCTCTTGTTTTTGGAGGTATCCAAGTTCTAAACATGACCGCTACGAATGACATGTTGAAGGTTACTGGCAACGTCCTCTGGAACTAACTACTCGTCCTTGTGGACTTAAGGTGATCTAACACAAACCCTACTGGTGACAGCGTCTTAGCAGAAAACTGTCGCATTATGAAGTCTGCAATCTAATGAAGTATTTGAAATAAGTTAGTACTACACACTCTCGGTATTTCAGTGTCTTATATATGACCTGTCCACTACCACACCCCTCCCTGTCCACTACCACACCCCCTTCCTGTTCACAACCATATCCCTGCCTGTCCACTACCACATCCCTCCCTGTCCACTACCACACACCTCCGTGTCCACTACTACATCCCTCCCTGTTCACAACAACATCCCTCCCTGTCCACTACCACATCCCTCCGTGTCCACTACCACCCCCCCCCCCTGCACTAGACCACACTACACACAATAACAACAACAGCGTACAAATCCCACTTGTTCACGGAGACTACGGGATTATTTTCCACGAATTGGGATCCCAGAGAGGGAAACTGTGACCATATGCCCCAAGGTCGAGTTTTATTGTTAGTTAAGTTAGCGCTCGTCCATAATGCAGATGGGTGACGGCCATATCTACCACCTACACACACGATTGTTATCCTTCCATCCGGGGGTAAACAGTGCTATACCTAGGCTCGTAACAGAGACGATATTTAGGGAGTTAACAGTGGTGTATTAATCCGTAGGAATACAATGAGTTATCTCCTCCCTACAAACCATTGTTAACGTTCCATACAGAGGGTAAATAATACTAACCAACACCGGAAATACAGGCGACATATAGGCAGTAGCGAAAGTTATTTCAGCCGCTACAGCTGTGTGGGTGATGTGCCTGGCTGGCGGGTGGTGGGTATTGTCAGGTCGGAGCGGCTGTCAGCTCCTGTCTCCGCCAGCCGACGCTCACGTCGCCCACCATTGACGTCCATTGATGCCCACCGCCAGCCTAATGGCGCGGAAACATTAATTGATTATCTAATTGACGAGTTAATTAATGGATGGAAAGCTGCAGCATCTGGTTACTGGCGGCGCAGACACGTGGTGAGTGACAGCAACAGGAAGCAGTGTTGGCTGTGGTTGGTCAAAAACGGCTAGATTGACCTATAGAATCCGCTAAGCACAAATATTATGCACGTATCCTAAACAATATGCAAATGTTAAGTAAATGTACAAAAGCTAAGTACTGACCACTTAGTTCAGCGAGAAAATTATGCCGCCCTCTTCTTCCTCTTCAATCTATAGACATGGGTACTGAAGAGGAGCTTGGACCAGCTTCTGGTGCTTTGGATGTCCACGAACTGTATGCTACCTATAATCGCTCATAGGAGCGATTTTGGTTTGTGCAGGACAATAAGGCCCTTGTCGTTGACGCGATGAGTATAATTCGGTCAAAACCTGTTGAATACAATTCACATATAACAACTGCTGGTACATCAGGACACACTTTGAATAATACGATCAATATACAGTACATAATTACACTTATTAAACTTATTTAGAGTTCTCAGAGGATTCAACAGTTCACAATCACACTCATGTTTTGGGGTCTAGGGTTAGACCAACGAGAACAAATCTAATGTCCTGCAGGAAGATATTGACTGACGAGAATCAAGATGTTGCCTTTACTGTAGAAGGTGATAGAGTGATAGTCTGTCCCTCAGGCAGTCACACAGCTGCTATCAGCCCCATCTCGCTTAGTAAACTATTTTGAGTTGTAAACAGTTTCTTCACTTAACATGTGGCCGGCGCTCACAAATACGTGTGGCGATAACACTATCATTGTACCTATTTGCTTTCCCACTTGTTTTGGCAGTTCATATGAATGGCAACATTTTCCAACTCTTCTGAGTCCACTTTTCACTGCAATAATCGCACTAAATGAACTTGAATTCAACCGATTTCTGAGCATTGATTTAACAATAGTCTCGCCTTCAGCATTAGAGTGGGAGAGGGAGGGTACTGACAGTTAATCCACAGAGATCACGAAAAGGATTTACTCCTGTAGCATCCTGGTAATTGTCTACCTCAATCCAAAATTTCACTGTTGACGTGGTCTCGTGCCCTTTAACAAATGTTAAGTTGCGCCACTGATTGTCAATTCGGTCAATTTGTTCTGGATGGTACCCAAAAAGTTCAGCTATCTCTGCTATTGGTTCCTTTACAACTCTGAGACATTCCACTGCTTTAAATGGAGACATCTTCCTCAAGATTTTGAAGTTATCAGGTAGTCTGCTTTTTAACTCATTACAGAGACTGGTAACACAAGATATGCAGCGTTGGCGAAGATTACGTGCTTTTTCGGATATCTCTGAGTTGGTGCAAGTCTTTTCAAATTCGTATCCTAAATATGCCCTGGGGTCAATGTGAGAGGTAATTTCAGAGGTTAAAGGATCCAGTCTTGCCGTAGGAATAATCACTCTCTTACTTGTTGCAAGGATGAGATTTGAGAGGTCAGACAGAAGTTTAGTGGGATCAGTGTTTTCACCCTGAAACGCTTTCACAGTTCGCTGAACATCTTGCAGAACTGGGCGCAAAAAAAAAAAATAAATAAATAAAATTTGTTCATGGGATCACTGTACACACTGAATAACACTTCAGCACTGTAACACTTCTCTGATGATCTCGCAATATCAAAGTGTATTCTAAGTTCATTCCACTGGGCTAGGATGCGGGTTACTGCAGGTTCCAAGGAAATCCACCTCAGGTCGCCCACTTTAGGAATCTGAAGTGATTGTTTCCCATCGTTCAGTGTTTCAAACAGTCTTGTACAATAACTATCTTTTCGATAAGTGGCCAAACCAGTTGTAAGTTTCTCGCCGATTGAATCGAATGACACACAACGGACCATTATCAAATGTGGGAGCTCAAGATCTTTCTTCAGTATTTCATAAACACCATTATTCAAACCAGTATTGACACTCACATTATCAACTCCAACTCCTAGTAACTACTGTGAGTCCATCTGTACAGTACATCCTGTACAGGTTCTTGATGGCATTTAATATAGATTGAGCTGCTCCAACTTCTAGTTCAATAAGTCCAAGATACGTGACACAATTTTCTTTAACTCCTTGCTGAAACAACGTACAATAACACCAAGCAACTTCACGCGAGCTATGTCAGTTGAGTCATCAATCAATATCTTTTCATAGACTCCCAGTAAAGTGTGGTGCCAACACATTTACTATAATGTTTTTGCACTTGGTTCTATGCAATTTCATATTCTTCACTGCATTACTGTCACTGAACGCCTTTTTGCAAGCTTCCGACACATGATCCACAGTAAAAAAAAATGCAGTAAGTTCAGTAATTACCATCGACAGCAGTCCCTCGGCCTCACTTAGGGCTTGTTGTTGATGTCACTAAATTTAGAGAAAGGAAGCTTCATTTGCCTTGCACTATAAAATGGATCTGATGATTTGACATGTTTTACTGAAACTGCATGCCTTCTCAGATCACAAAGTTTTGCATTAATCTCGCACTTACAGAACAAGCAATATGACTTAGTTTTATCTTTAAATCTGGAAAAGCCTCTGTGGGGTATGAGATTGTTTGGTTCACACTCAGGATGGAATGGAGAAAGGAAACTCACAATGTGCTCTCTATATACATGTTGTATTGGATGTACAATGCAGCTTGGTGCTGGGAAGGCAGCATGGTTACAAGCGTGATGTAGAGAGAGCTGGTTGGTGAGGACGCTCAGAGAAGGACAGCTTGTGGGTCGCCATGCTCGCCAGCGGGAGAGAGGACCGCCAGGCAGGCGGAGGTGTTGCTGGCTGGTTGGTGTAGGTAGAAAGAGCCAGATCACCACGAGGTCAGGTCTTAAATAGCGGGGGTAGGCGTGGCTTAGCAGTTGACCCCCGCTCCGTGGTGTATGGCGGCGCTGGTTGACCTAGACCACGAGGCATACACTGGGGAATTGGTGGGGTCGGCTAGGCAGCGACAAACAGCGTTTGTAGGGGAGAATTCCACTACAATACTCCCCCTTCCCTCCAGGCTGTGTAGGAGACTTGTTGTCTGCAGGGTTGCATAGCACATGTGAGGCAGAACGGGCGGTGCGTGCCTCATGTGAGACAACGGCGATGGCGTGGATGAGCCGGTCGCTGGGGACAACTGTCTAGATACACAATATCTGTGGGAGTAGAGAGGGAGAATAAGGGTGTGTGGAGGCGATGAATGTTGTGCTTCCCTCACGGCAGGTACAGAGTCGTCAGATGCGCCTGCTGGGGTGTGTGGGCCTGGGTCAGGAGCAGGGGCTGCGTCAGCAGAAGCGGATGAGGGCTCGTGACAGCAGCTGGGTCCACGACAGCAGCAGGGTGCAGGACATTAGCAGGGAGTACCTGAGGGAGAAAAGAGGGGTGTGTGGGTCCGCACTCAGGAACAGAGGCCGCATCAGGGGCGGCAGGGGTTACTGCTGGGCCGGGGTCGGCGTCTGAGGCAGGACGGGTGTGCTGGGGTCGGTAGGACGTGGTGCTTGGGGCAGGAAGAGGAGCTGGTGTCTGCTTAGAGTAGCAGAGCTGCTCTAGGTTGTCTAACCTGCGGTGTAGAAACAGTAGTTGTAGAGCCGATGAGAGCTGCTTCTGGGTGGATAAGCCAGTCTTCCATGTTGCTTGAAGACTGGGAGCGTGATCAGTTTCTCCTCCATCCTGTGTGAGTGCGAATCTCCGGGAGTCACCATTTGTGGGGTATGAGATTGTTTGGTTCACACTCAGGATGGAATGGAGAAAGGAAACTCACAATGTGCTCTCTATATACATGTTGTATTGGATGTACAATGCAGCTTGGTGCTGGGAAGGCAGCATGGTTACAAGCGTGATGTAGAGAGAGCTGGTTGGTGAGGACGCTCAGAGAAGGACAGCTTGTGGGTCGCCATGCTCGCCAGCGGGAGAGAGGACCGCCAGGCAGGCGGAGGTGTTGCTGGCTGGTTGGTGTAGGTAGAAAGAGCCAGATCACCACGAGGTCAGGTCTTAAATAGCGGGGGTAGGCGTGGCTTAGCAGTTGACCCCCGCTCCGTGGTGTATGGCGGCGCTGGTTGACCTAGACCACGAGGCATACACTGGGGAATTGGTGGGGTCGGCTAGGCAGCGACAAACAGCGTTTGTAGGGGAGAATTCCACTACACCTCCCAGCTTTTTCGGTATGCTTGAGCGTAAGTTGGCCCCATGTTGGCTAATTAAAGTACTTCCACATAGAGTGAAGTCTGGGAGGCTACTGGGCGTACTGGCTAGGCTACTACAGTGGTCTCTGGACGTGGGCGGCGGGTCCCTAGGCAGACAGGCCCTATTCCTGTACGAAGTTCGAACGTGTAATGGACAGCAGAGGGACGGGGTTGGGTTGCTAATTACTCTGTATTCTATTTACTTTAAATTTCCCTTTTTTCTAATTTCCGAGGGAGGACAGAATAGGTTTTGATTACTAATAATCACCATGTATACGAAATCCGCTAAAACTTCCGCCAAATCCGGTGAAAATGCACCAGAAAATCCGCTATCCGCAAAACGTTTAAGCCATCCGCGTTTTGAAAGGTCAATCCGCTAGATTTAGAGGATTTTCCGCCAAGTTGGCAACAATGACAGGAGGACAACACCACCCACACTCTCAAAGGATTGTGAGGGCCGTATTTCCCTGAACTGGCGACGCGACGACCTACCTCACCCACTTATTGGATGATAAATGCTCTCCCTGGCTATAAATATTTTCGCCAACAGCTTATACAGCGATTATTTAACTGAAAATAACACCGGCAAGAAAAGTATATCAACCTAATGTTAATTCTGCTGCTACTTGAAAAAATACTTACATATGAGAAGTATACTGTATGAAAATGGAAGAAAAATGTTGACCATAACATCAATGGAAAGTTTTGTTGCCTTTCCAGCGCAGAGGTAATTTCCAAGTAACGCGTCGAAATTATCTTCCGCTATAATTATTAATTTTTATTGTAGCTTAATTTTTTTAATTATTAAACCGGTACTGATCAGGTATCCACTTTAACCGATTGTCGCGTTACGCGCGATCGATGGATTTACGCAATCGATCGCTACGCTGTCCATCCTATGGCTACACAACCATCGATGTTTACACAGAGCAAGTCTGTGCTGACAAACGGATCGTGTGTAGGCTATTTCAGACCAGTTGCTCAAGTTTCAGCTGTTGTAGTGTTCATCAGGTGACCGAATGATTTTTATTATTATTGCAAATAATTAATAACGGATATAATTGAAATCTACCACACAGTGAACATTAACTGAAGAATTAAAAGTAAAGAATACAATGATACATTTAATTTAAAAATCGTTCGATTTTCCTTTAATTTATCAATCTGTCTTTTTCTCCATTACTGTGTATGTATCTGCGATATTCAGCAAGCCGATCTTTTGGTGAAGAGG